TTACAAAACTGAATCAATATCCTTTCTAGTGTTAGACAGTCTTGTGGGGGCAAAGATTTCAAATTAGAACAAGAAGAAACTTTGTTTATCAATAACAGAAAGGCGAATTTAATGATTTTATAGGCATCTTTTTCCTTGTAAAGTTTTTATTTTCTTTGCCTGAGAGGTCAACGTTTTAGATATCATATATCACTTAGCGAGACATTTGTCTGAGTAGTTGATTTTATCAGTCAAAGCAAGTCACGTTCTTATCGCCGCTTTAATTACATGACCTTTTAGGTCAAGTTTATTTAAAGTCTCAATAAATTTTGCATATTTTGAACTAGACGCTCTTATTAGACCGTGAGTTCGGCTGTTTTGGAAAAAAAAGTTAAGAAATATTTTTATCCATGTAATATCCTGCCTTTCTCAATTTTCACAAGCAGCTAGTCCGACTTCACGCTCCCAGAGCGTCTAGTTCTTATAGTAAAATTTGGTAACGTTACCTACATTCGAATGATTATGAATGTTCAGTGGGGTATATGTACCTGTAGTCCTACATATATGATGTCACAATCATGTTGTTCAAAACACATCCAAATGTCAAAATTCAATATTGCAGCAACTTTAAATTTTCTCAATTTCTGATTGGTCGAGAGCTGTGGTAAATAAAAGTACATACCATGGTGACAGGATTGTTCTTTTTTGTTGTATTTATTAATTGTAGAGGGCAGTTCCATGCAAGAACAAGCAAAAAGTGAAAAAATAAAATTGACTTTGGCAAATATCTATAGTGGCCAATTTGTAGTGGTATACCTAAACCTTTGAAAAAATAATGTACAAATCGGATTGTGCTACTTGTGTACTTAGGGGGGGTACTCAAAGTATGCTTTTTTAAATTACCCCCAAAATGACATGTAAGAACAAAATTGTTTTAATTGTTCAAAGAGCTTAAAAAGTTTAATCAATACAAAAATTTCTCATCATACTAAAGTCAGTGGTGTGTACTTTACAAATAAATAACCTTTTTATCAAAAAAATGCAATATTGCATTAATTATGATGTCATAAATTTTGTCATGGATGTTACATGACATTTATTGTAAAATATGCTATTTTTTACTCTCCTGTTAAATGCAGAGCAAATATTTTAAAATCCTTTCATTTCCTTTTTGTGCTATCAAAGATAAGTATAGACCTGTCATGAAATAATAGATTTTCTTCTTAGTTTAAAAGAAAATTCAATTTGAATTATGTAACGTCCATGAGAAATTGGTCATGGACGTTACATCATGGACGTTACATCAAGATAATTTAGGAGTTTGACATTTCTTCCTATAGCTTTTCCAAGGGCTTGAACCAAGGGCGCTAGAACTGAAATTATGACTTATAAGATCCAAAAATTGCTTAATTTATCCAACATAAGATAGTCGATAATAAATTGTAAAGTTTTACTTATCTGAAATATACACTGAAATGTCCTCTTAGACACTAAAAAGCACTTGATTTTACGAAATTCATCCAAATGATCGTTACTCAAGCGGTTGTTGCTGAATTTATTACCGCTGTCCTTGTTGTACCAGCCACTGCTGTCTCGCCAGGAACGTTATTCATTAACCGGATTAAAATCACTTTGCCCTGGCCGAACACCAAAAGAGACAGGGGCAGGCAATAACTAGCGGCCCCTTTGACCACTCGTCTGACTCACTAATCGGATTAAGTTGACAGGACCTAGGGACACTGATGACAGATTAGTCCTGGCCGAGCGAGGCTTCGTAGGCCCGAANGACAGCAGTGGCTGGTACAACAAGGACAGCGGTAATAAATTCAGCAACAACCGCTTGAGTAACGATCATTTGGATGAATTTCGTAAAATCAAGTGCTTTTTAGTGTCTAAGAGGACATTTCAGTGTATATTTCAGATAAGTAAAACTTTACAATTTATTATCGACTATCTTATGTTGGATAAATTAAGCAATTTTTGGATCTTATAAGTCATAATTTCAGTTCTAGCGCCCTTGCTTGAACTGACTTAATGCATGCATTTCAAGGCTTGTCATGGATATTTTTTGGCTTTTACTCGCTGTTTCTTTTCCAATCATTACACAGGAAACCCACAAATCACATTTTATCAGAAAAGTCTAATTTTATTAAGAACTAAAGAAACTTTAAATGAATAAATGTCTAAAAGTGTATAATTTATTCATTAAGTCAAGTTTTTAATATTTTCCATTAAAGTAAACCAACATAAAATGCTAAAAATACAGATTTTTTTGAAGACGTAACGTCCATGACAAATTTCTGTGACGTCCATGAATCTAGTTTTTGCCCAATTGGTTTTCATGTGAAAGACGAACAAGGACAAAAACTTCACAAATGGTAACAACCACTCTCTCACTTGATGTATTTGCACTAATGAATTTATATAACTAAAGTTAGTTCACAGGAATTTTACATTTGAAGCCCAAGAGTTTAAAAACTGTGTCCGTTTTTTGTAACGTCCATGACTGAGATTAAAATATTAATTACTCTTAATAGAAACAAGCAAAAATTTCTAAAACTACACATGGACATAAAGCAAACCCATGTACACTATTGGGAGGTAGAAAAAAAATATTTTGAAAAAACTGTAATTTTTTATCAACATTTATTTCTCTGAAATTCTCTCTGAATGTAACGTCCATGATCTAATATTTTTTGCTGAAAAAAATAAATGTATGGTAGTTTTTGTGGTTCTTGTATGTTCTCTTATTTACTACAGTTGGTGCTATCTCGTCATTATTGTTGTTTATCCACTCAACTCCATCAACAGCTATTTTGACGATTTTTTTTACACCAACCATTTTAGAGGACAATTGGCAATGAATTATAAGACTCATTTTATTCTATATCTCTCTATCACCGTTCTTAAATTTGTTAATATTCTTGAGCAAATGCCTTTAACTTTTCACAAATTAGTTTCTTGCCAGGATCTACAAATTGATTTATATAATAAATGTGAAATCTATTGCTTCAAGAATTGCTTATATTATTTAAAAAACCAGACAGATCTTTTAAGGTATTAACATTTTAGAAGTTGGTTTTCTTGCAAACCTATTATATGACCTTTATACAAATACTGTAAGGCAAAAAAGTAAACATTTGCATTTAGGAATTCTATAGAACATTTAGTTCTCATTCTGCCATAACCTCCTCAATAGATAAAGATTAGTTTGCTTAAGAATGTGGTGTTCACAAAAGCAGAAGTAAAGAGTTGGGAACAAGGAGGGTAGGGTTAGGATGAGCCACATTCAATATTTTGATTGACTAACCATGTACAATGGAATTGAAAACGAGGCTTAGGGGTAAACAAAGGATAATTCTTTTGTTTCCCTTGAGGCTCGGCTTGAATTCTTCTTGCATGACCATTCCAGCAGAATATTGAAAATGTGCTATATACTTTTGAAGTCTCAGGACACATTTTAACCAAACCATATGGCAAATACTTATCATATGGTGCTACTATAAAACATATCAATTAAGGCTAGCTTTATGATTTGACCATAATGTGCAAACCATCCATCAAATAATCCATCCATGCTTCGTTCATAAAGCCATCTGGGATCCCTGTCTTAATGACGATGTGTGGCTGATTACAGACAGTCATTTGTCAGTCTAGATTTCATTTGTCATACAATATATTTAGTTGACATTTAATACAATATCAGTTAGTAAAAATAAAAAGTAATAATTGATCAATAAGCAAGCCTGGCAAATTTCAGTGAAACTGATCAAAATAATATTTTAAAAGGTGGTTTGACATTTCA